TCTAACGAATGTAGTAGTCTGAAGATAGTCATTCATTTTTATTTTTTAAATTAATTTAAAAATTTTAAATATTCTACAAAGAATAATTTTATATTCATATATCTAGAATACTAAAAAATAAACTTAGTATTTTATTAAATTCATGTATACATTTTATTATGTCTCGGTAAGAGATTAATTTTTTTTTTTCAAACTTCAAACAAGAATTGATCTATAACATTAATGAAATTAATTTAAGTATAGCTCAGTTTTATAATTATTTTCTAATCACTCTAATATATAAATGACTAAAGAGGATGCCCTACGTCAGATTGAGATCGATAATTAGTAGACCGGGTCTAAGCGGGCCCAAGATCCACGTGGGTGTTTCGTTTTCTTTGTGGTGCTTTGGCATGCTACCACGTGGAAGATAATTGCCACATGGCAAGTGATTAGACCGTGCTTATGATCCTCCTATCGTAATTACATATGTTAATCTTCTGATAATATAGATTAATTAGTCATGATTGTAATTAATCGTGATTAAAAATTAAAACAGGGCACTTTGGACGGTGTAGGATAGATGTGGGCTAGCCGCCAGAGAGACCGGAGGGCCCGGCGGCCCGTTGTTTTCTTATGCCGTTCCAGTGTTCCGCCGGAGCAGGGATAGCCCAGCGGAGCTGCTTCACCAGCTTTTTGGTGAAAGCGACGGCGAGGGTGGGGCTATGTATAATTGACAGTGGGCCCGGTCCTCAAGTGTGGGATGAGAGGGTGGGGCCTGGTAGCAGATTAGCCAATGAGGGACCTTAGAAGATGGTAGGGCCGGAAGGGATAGAACAACGTATCGGAATCTCAATCACAATGCTGTTCTGGCGTTTCTCAGTTTTCCTGTTGTTTATTTTATTTATTTATTTATCTATTTTTATGGCTATGCTTCTGCGGTTGGATCTATGGTTTATATTTTTCTCGCTCATTGAGGCGGGTTTTTGCTTCTTTTCTCTCAACTATTTCGTTGGCTATAGCAGTCCTTTGCAATGATTCATGAAGAGTTTTTTTTTTTTTTTTTACTTTAATTGAATAGATATTATGGGCTTTTCTAAGATATTGTTTGGTTAGAAATATTAAAAAAAAGTAAAATAATAATTTACAAATTAAGTCTTTTTTTGAAATAGCTCTTCTCTTATTTTACTTTTTAAATGCCAATAAATTTTTTTATTTCATCATTATTTTTCACTATTTTCAAAATATTTTTATACTAGAAAACTATTTCTTACACTAGTTTTGGAAAAGTTTTTTTCTCCATAGTTGGAACTACATTTACAAAAAAAGTACAGCCGTCTCAAATACGATAAATTATTTTATGCGGCCAATCAGAACACGCCACATCACTTTTTGCTCTGTATTGATGCTAGGTATCGACTGTGACGTGGTGTGTTCTGATTAACCCTGAACCGTCCGATGTTCGCACGGTTAATGATACATTTGTTTATAGATGAATTTAAAATAATTTTATATTTATGCATATACAATTATTATAAAAAATTAACTATAAAAAAAATAAAAAATAATGATTGAATGATACATTTGTCATTTAAAATTAAGAAAGAAATATTTAATTTTGTTTTTGATAAAATAATTATAAGAATAAGTATGTTACGGTTCTGTTCATTTTTGTTTACAGACTTTTATTTATTTATTTATTTATTAAGCTTGGTATATTATATTATTAAAAATTTAAAATTGTGTTTCCACTCTCCCTCTTCTCAGCGTGGGTGGATTTCTGACGTGGCATTATTTATTTTGAAAGGACAGGATGAGATTGATCACTCGGTGGAAAGTGGGCCCCACGACCAAAGATCTGGTTGGATGTGGGATCCGGCATCAAATGAGGCGCGAATATTACTGCACTCTTATTGGACGCCGGTTGTTTCCCCATTTTAGTATTTTTCATCCCCACTTCTCATCAATGAAGAGATGAGAAGAAAGTGATTGCGAGCTTAATCACATCTGCTAACTTTTTAAAAAAAAAAATATGTTTTTAATAATTATTGTATAATTTAATAGCATATTATTATAAAAATTATATATTCATTTATTTTTTTTTAATTAATTGTAAAGGAGAAAATAAATTTGATTAAAAAAAAACATTGTGATAAAATGTAAAAAAGAATATTGTGTTGATAAGTTGTTTTTTTACAATTAAGATTTCTTATATGTGATAGCTTTAAGAAATAATTGCTTGAGTTAAAAAAAAGAATATAAATAATAGCTTTAAAAAAATCTTATATTAGTTCCAAAACCATCTTTGCAAAGCTCTGGCACTAGCTGCCTCCTGCCACCACTATCACGAGCTATCACCAACCAATCAGGGGCGGAACTAGCCTCTATTTTGAGGGCAGGCAAATTGGGATTGTGAAATGCAGAATATTTTATATAAAATTGAAAAGAGATTTTTTTTTTTTGAAATGGGGCAACTGCACTTATTGAATGTGGGAAAAATAATTAAAATATTTATTCTTCAATGGGAAAAAAAAAATTAAGGGTGGGCACCATGCTAACCACCAATCATTATCATTGTTTGATTTTACATTGCATTCATTTTAATTCATACCAAATAAAAAAAAAAATCAATTCTTATTTTATGCTCATCAAAATAACTATATAATATTTTAAATACATTTCATTTCTTTTGTACTTTATTGTTTTTTAATTTATATTCTTTCCAAGCAAACAAAGTAACCTCCTTGGTTATGGGTCAATTTTGAGACGATTTTAATATTTTATAAAATTGATTATGAAGTTGTTGTGTTGAAAGTAACTTAACAACTATGATTGCAAACTTAATTTTGCTTCATAATTTTGTTTTAGAATAATTAAAAATTAATCAAATAAAACTATAATTAATGTTTGAAAAATAAAACAGCCATAAAATGGTTCTACTGAGACCATGAGGTTTCGTTTGAGATAGTTTTCTTACTGCTTTTAAAGGTAATTTTTTTAGTATTAAAATTTTTATTTTTGAAATAAAAAATTGCTTTAAGAAGCAGTAAGAAAATCATCCCAATCGAATCCTTCGTTTGGAACAATTTTTTTATTGCTTCTAAACAAGACTTTTTAGTAAAAAAATTAAAATTTTTATGATAAAAAATAGTAAAAAAAACGTCCCAAACAAAAATACTAATACTTCAAAATGTTTACCGTTCCCGACTTCTGTTAAAACAAGCTTATGCTTGACTGAACCATAGTAAATACCCGCACTGCCCCGTCCAAATTCCTGGCGAAATTAGAACCGAAATGAAAGCCAAATGAAATGGAGAAACGACAGTGTGAGGCTATAAATCTTGGACCGGCACTCTTGCTTGCTCCGTTCGTTCTCTCAACCAAATGGGCCGGAGACTCTTCTCATCCGCCGCCGCCGAAAGGCTCCTCCGCCACCACTCCGCCACCTCTGTTGCAACCTCAGCCTCCGACCTCCCTGACCTGGACGAAGAGGATGTTTGGGCCACCGCCGCAGCCACCTCCGGCGCCAGGAGCAGTTGGCGGCTCGTTGACTGCGTTGACCACCGGCGCCACGTGGGCGGCCTTTCGAGAGTTTTAGATGGCGGCGCCGTGGTGGCGATGTCGGCTCCAGTGGAAGTAACCTTTCCGGAGTGGGCGAAGAAGGGTTTGGGCCGGATCGGGTCGGTGGAGCCGGTGGGCGGGTCTACGTGGGAAGAGGAGGTAGATGAAGAAGGAGACTGGGTCCCGCCGCACGAGTACCTAGCTCGACAACAGGGGAAGACGGCGCTGGCGACCTCAGTCTTCGAGGGGGTCGGCCGGACCCTGAAAGGCCGAGATATGAGCCGGGTTCGTAATGCAGTCTGGAGTCAAACCGGGTTCTTTGGCTGAACCGCTTCGTAACAAGAAATTCTTAATTCATATATATTTATTGTATTAGTTGTTTCCTCTGCTTCTTTTAGGTAGTGATTTTAGCTTTGTAAATTGTTAATAATGTCTATTTCTGGGCTTATTGTGCGAAAATTCTTCTTCCCATGTCTCTTACTTATCATTTGGGACCGTTTTTTTCTTTTTTTTAAGTTTCTTAAAACAGTTTTCTATAACAAAAATTAAAATTAAAATTTTACATTTTTTTTAATTTTTGTTCTGTAACAAATGAAATATTAGGCTTCATTTGGAACAGTTTCCCATCTCTTCTTAAAGCAACTTTTTAATAAAAAAATTAAAAATTTTATACTTAAAAATTACTTTAAGAAGCAGTAAGAAAGCCGTCCCAAACAAAGACTTAGTCTTTCATTTTATATCAATTATGAAATAAAAATGTGTTATATTATGTATTTGATTACCCAATTTCTCAACAAACCAAGTTTGTATTTTATGAAAAATATCAAAAGAATGTTTAAAATTCAATGTAAATTTATAATAATTTTATTACTAATTACTTCTCATTATTTTTTAAACTATTATATATGATTAAAGAATTATTTTTTACCCAATAATAATATCAAAATTATTTTCTCCTTAATAACCTTATAATCAACTTATAAATAATTATAATGATCCCCAAATATATCCTTAATTCAAATAAAGGGAGCTTCCAAGTTGATCACCAAAATCTATTAATTTGTCAATATTTATAATTTTAATTGCGACAATCTTGTTTATTTTTTTCAAAAAACTAACCATTTTAGTTAAACAATTATAATTTAAAACTTCTTTTTTTATAAAAATATTTAAGAATAATAGTATAAATATATAAAAAAACATAGAGAGGGCCTTTCCTACTGTTTTATACGATATAATTATAAATTGTGGAGATAACATTGAAAAATATGTTTAAAAGCAGCCAAAAATCAGAAAAAAAAGAGCCTCCCCAAATAAAACTGAAGAATTATTTGTTTATTAACATAATTTCACATTAATTGTAGCTGTACGTGCGCGGTCCCAACAATATTATTGAGATGCGAATAAAACTTTGGACACCAAATAATTTCCTAGCCTAGAGGATAAGCACCCTTTGGGAAAGCAACAAAAAATATAAAATATTGACTGGTTTTGTTTTTTCTTCTATTAATAAGTTTTGGTGGCAATCTGATATAGACTGCCAGCTTCGGCACTTCTTTTATTATAAATTTTTTTAGTGCAATTTATATTAAGCTCACATATATTATATGTAAAAATTGGGCCTCCCAATTAATAGGCTACAGACTGGCTCCCTATTTTAATTAACGGAGAAGAGATCATATTAAGGGCAATTTTTGGATTTTCATTATGATTCTCATTTTATAAATTTTAAATACTTAATGGACATTTACAAGCCTCAATGATTGTGAGCAATTTTCAAGTCTAAAAAATGCCATTCAGAGTTTAAAATTTTAATTATTACAAAACTATCATCAGTGTAATTTTTTGGACTAATAATTCATGATTGCCTATATTACGATCAAATTTTTGGGAACTGTAATAAAATGTTGGAAAATACAATTTTGACAATTTATTAAAATTATTGATATTTGAGCAGAATTTTTTAAAAAAAAAGTATGAGTGAGTTATTTTGTAACTAGCCAAATTATTTAGTGTATATCTAAAGACTGACCAAAAAATAAAAAATAAAATAATCATCAAGAAATCTTCGGCAATTACTTGGTGACGGAAGTTAATAAGGATAATATGAATGTTGATATTTCTGAAGTTTACCTTCTCATGATTTGAATTCTATTGCGAGGCTGTTAAGGTGATAGAGATCAGGAAGGTGGTTGCTGGATGACATGCTTGCTGGTGTGGAGCCGAGTGGGTTGAAGTTTTTGTGCCCGTCGTTGATTTGCTTGAGGAAGGGAACAGTGTAGTTGAGATTCCTGTAAAATTGTTGGATACTCATGTATTGGTCTGATTGGGTGGGGAAGTTATTCGGTTAAAGATATTAGGGATAGACAGATTGGTTGAATGATCGTCGGAGAGGAGGTTTATTTCTGAATTTTCTGCAGTCGGATAATGATTTTTCCCTTGTTCGTTCTATCCAATGCAACTCGGGGGAAGTTTTGGGGGCGTGGTCGCGTTAAAACGATGATTTGCACTTTTTTTTGGATGTTTTGTATTGTGCATTTTTATTGAGGAAGGCTGGCTTTATTGTTCGTTTTGGTTGCTACGGACTGGCTAGGGCAATGATGTGGTCGGGGCTCGCGTCCCGTTCATTTAGCTGGTGGCAACCAATTATTTCTGGATGGTCCGTGCGTGGCGCTTGGACGGTTTGATGCTTGGACTGTTACTGAGCCCATTTTTAGCTTGTCGTATTCACTTTTGCGTCGCTTTATCGCTGTTGTATTATGTAATCTCTCTTTGTTTTTTAAATATAAAAAAGTCTTTAAGTGCAAAAAAAAAAAAGAAATCTTCTTTTTAAGATTGTTGATAAACAATTATTTCTTATATATAATATATATATACTATATATATTTAAATTTCATTAAATCTATTTGAATTTTAAAATTAATATTTTTAAATTATTTAATTAAATTATTGATATGTAAAATTAATCCATTATATATTTATTGAATCATTTAAACTATTAAAAATGCATAATTATAGTAATCAACATAGCCAAACACTATTTTTCTTTTGTGGGCATTAATTAAATAAGATGTTCTTAATCAGTTTAGTTATATTATATTTGCCTAATTTAGCATGTTAGGCAAATAAGTTGATTGATATGCTTAGTGCTAATAAGCTTGCTGAAATCGGAGTTCGTGTGCTTTCTAATTTAATTTGTGAACTTTTCAGGTTGATTTTTGCTTTGAGATTCGTGCCCGAACAAGATAATTTCATGATGACGTATCAGTGCTAATGATTGCTATTTATTTATCTTGGTTGGTCAGGAAGTAATCTTTGGTATGAAACGAACTGAACCTCATGATCTCTCTACTAATTAAGGCACCATCCTCTCTCCTCTTGAGAAGGACCACAAGTATCATTCTAATAAAATTATTTCAAGATATGCTTGTTAGCATATCAAGTATAAAAATCAGGATAGTCTTAAATCTTCATAGGTAGGGAGATTATTATAGTAAAAGTTATGAACTTTGATATCATAAAATGATTTTAAGAGGTCAATCAAACACAACATATCTGATAATATAATTGCTTTCAATGCTCATTTTATGCTATTTGTAAAAGAACCTTTTAATCATCTGAGACGTAAAAAAACTTTCCAATTAGAATATTATCTTTTAAGCCCAAAACATAAATAGCCAGTCTATTGGCTTATTGGCAAATCATTATCGGTTGAAAAGGATCCTAAGAACTAAGATTTTTTTTATTGTTTCTCAAAATTAGGATTTTAGTATAAAATTTTTTAAGGGATTTTATACATAACATAACTTTCAAACTTTTATACATTACATATTAACACCTAATTTTTTTTATTAAATTTTACTTATTATAAAAAAAAAAACCATTTAAAAACTTCTCTTCATCTATTCCAACAACTCCCTGCTACCCCGTCAAAAAAATTCCCGTCAGCCTTGTGTCTTCCCATTCGACCCGGCATTCTAGTTTCCGAGATTTACACTCATTTGCTGCCACGGATTCACCCACTGTCGGCTGTACCAGTGGGATGGAAGGATCTCAGCCGGCACCATTAAAGAGTTTTGGGGAGTAGGTCTCCATCGGCTGTACCGGGAATGGAAGGTCTTAAAGACTTGCAGACGGAGATACAAAGGGAATGTGAAGTACCGCAAAGCTCGTTAAGCTCTGGGATTTCTTATGGTTATTGGGTTTGATATTCTATTTTCATCTTTTCTAAAATTTGGGACAGTTAAAGTCTTTAGGGCCGTGGGACGGCGGCACTCTTGCCTTTACTTATAAAAAGTTATGAAATGTTGTTTGGGGCATCGCAGCAGAACAGCGGCAAAAAAATTCGCGGCGTGCAATTGCTTTCCCGCGACTTACACTCTCTCCGCGGTCCGCTGCAGTCCGCTGCTGTTCCGGGAAAAAAATGACGAAAATCCCCTTCCAATCCTTTCAAATGGAGGAACTGATCTCCCCTTCGTCGTTGCCGGCTGCATAAGGTTTAACAGCGAGGGCTTGATCCCGAGGTTCTCGAGGAACTTCCCGGACGCTTGGTGTTATTCAGAAGTGAAGGGAGGCAACAAAATCGGAAAGGGCGCGCTCGAGTGTGCAATCTGCCTGAACGAAATTCGGAGGATGACGAGACCATCCGCCCTCCCCCGAGTGCGACCACTGTTTTCCAATCAGGAGTGTGTAGACGCCTGCGCTCGAAAAACCCACGTCACTTGCCTGTTTGCCCGCGCTAATTACACCTTCTATTTCTCCCGATCGTGCATCCAGAATTCTCCGCCCCGCGAAACGATGGGGCCAATGCTGCCGCCAGCGCCTCCGCATCAAGCTTTTACCTCCCGACGCTCCGCCGGCCAGATCATGTGGTGATCACGTGGATTGATATGAATGAGAGGAAAGAGGAGATGCGAGAGCCGCGGGGGGAGGATCGCGAGCAAGTGAGGGCAAATTGGGCCGGGCGATCCAAAGGATTTCGAGGTCGCACTCGACTGGGCACTCGATGATGCCGCAAGGAGAGGCGGGTCTCGATCGTTTCACGTTGCGGCTGCCGGAGAAACAATGAGGAAGGAGATTATTCGCCGCTGGAAGCTGCCACAGGTCGAGAAACCTTCGCGGTGACGGTGAACTGGGGGTGGTGTCGGCGATCCAGTACGTGCGTCGCTGTCTCCGTCGCCGTCGCCGTCGCCGGTCGCTGTGCCGT